GTGACATATACTATTGGTATTGGTATCGGATTCAACCCTGAACTTGTTAATTATTGGTAATATCAATTATGTGGAAAGTGAAGGGCCTAGAATGGTGTAATTTTAAAACAACACAATTGTCCTATATTATTATACATAAAGTTGAATTCTTTGATTTGTCGTTTTAACATCATGCTGACTTATAAATTGGACTTCGTTATTTTAGTAGTATAGATTTACCTATGGATTGTTGTCTTATTGACTAGTACAGAAACTACTTCCATTCATATTTATAAATCTGAGAAAAATCGGGCCTCTTGATGGTTTCCAATGTAAGTGGTCATCCTGTTTGTATCTTCATTGGACATGTTTTTCATTGTGTGTTTTATCTTTACAACATAAGGTCTAGGTAGGCAAACGGGGAGGTTGTGTGCACGTTCAACTGGCTAATCGCACCACGAACCATGTCAGGCTATCTGAACTATGTGTTACCAGGTGTTTTTATGTTTGTACTATGTCTGGGGAGTCGTGAGTTCGTGGTTGGTGTCGTGTCATTTACATTGCGGTAATTTTGCCGGTACCTGTTATCCTTTTTCATGTTTTGCTATTTGAAAAAAGAAAATTTAACATATTGTTTAAATTATTTAGTGCACATCCCTCTGACTTTATCTATTGCTGTCATTAATGGAGCCACAGTTTTCCTTGTAGTGTGCTTTTCGTATGAAGTTCGAGAATGTCGCTCAGTTTGCAAGTATTTAGTTGAAATAGATATTATGGGTTATCATGAGAGAGAGAGAGAGATGTTGGGGACAATGTAGGCAATTAAGAAAAAAAACAATATTAAATCTTAATAATAAAATATTGAATATATTGATATGTCATAATACTGTGTTTTTTTTTGTTTTGTTTTTTTTTTGTTGTTTTTTTTTTTTTTTTTTTTTTTAAATTCATGGATTGGAATTATTCATTTGACGGTGTTTCTATGAACAGTATATACCTGTTTTAAATAAGAGTTACGGTCATATTTGATTTCATACACCTTTTATTTGCTAGTTTTACTCATTGGAGGGAAATATATCGCAATTAATTCACGGTGGAAAGCAAAACTAAAAAGGTGGTATTGTAATGGCTATACGGATTAGAGAGAATTGTTTTTCATCCAGATACACAAAACAATTCTTTGTTAATAAAAAAAATATTTGTGGAAAAAAGTATTACAAATTCAAAGAGAAATACATAAAAATTGACATAATACTTTATCAATCAACGGAACGAGCGAAAAACAATGTCGTGTTATATTCCTGACTTGGTACATGCATTTGTCGAAGAAAATGGTGGATTAAACCTGGTTTTATAGCTATGACAGTTGTGGAACCATTACTTACCAAATATTATCAGTACCAAAAACAAAATTTTTTTATCTGCACACAGGAATCGTGGAACATGCGTCATAAACACACAAAATATCAAAATACAGCTGCAGAGATATAATGAAATATGAATGGTAGTTGGCATAAATAAAGCAAAATCTTTATCAAATATTGCTAACCTGATACTTTTTGGATTTGTAAGATTCTTTGATAAAAAAAAAAAATAAAGACGGCAATAAGTTCCTACAAAATAATATTTTATATAGCTTATCCCTATAATACACCTTTGCAAACTTTGTAAATACCCATTGCCAGTTAGTTAAGGTACATAGCATACATGGCATTTGTTTGAAAGAATGGTCAGTTTTCCCTGAATTTGTTTTTAAAGGATAACAAAATCAAAAACTTGAGGAAACTTAGTGGAATCTGTATTTGTAAAATGTGTTAACAATATACCGCATAGGCATATTTGTATCACTTGCAAATATAGCATGTATTCCAAATCTCTGTTTTTTTCATATTTATTATGGATATTGTAAGAATTTTCCATATTACCTTAATAAAAATTGATGTTCAGTGCTATACATTGCCTTTTGCTGCATTTATTTTTTTATGCACATAGTGAAACGCAGAACATTCACCGTAAAGGAAACCAAATTAATTAGTATCTGCAAGATAACATTTGATTTCAGTTAAATCTGTCTCTTTGATTATTTTTTTCCGATTAATACTAAAAATTCGCCTTATTCTTCCAAAATTTCAGTTTCCATCTATTTTTAATAATCTACGACGTACACAAGAATAGGTTTATTCGAACTCTGTGTTGGTTTCTTTAGCAACGCTAAAACTTTAATGTCAGTGAACCGTATCATATCAAAATATCAAAATCATGTACTCAAGTGAAGATTTTATTTCATCATGTCGCATTCTTAATGTTCTCTAGTAACGAGAAATTTAATGAACAGTAATTTTTATCGAGCTCTCATTAGCAATCTCTATGTAAAACTGATCATAAATGTCTTTTTGTAATAATGAAATCGCCATCCCTGTGTCACAACGGTAAATATCATTATAACTTAATTACAATGATTGTGTACATACTCATACAAATATAATTGGGAAAGTATTTAACCTATATGATGAATGTCTTAAACTAAATGAAAATTGTCAGTGGTGTTAAGAATAATTCCAAGCATCGTGAAAAAATAATCTGTCCTTGATAGTATAACTCCCACAATGTTCAATCATTTCCATATTTATGTTCATAAGAATGCACTGGGATGAAAGCAAAATATTTTCTGTTAATATCATCATTGTGTTGTTTTTATCAAAGTATGATTACAATTCAGTAAATGCGTCACCTAATGTTTGTAAACAGAATTTCAAAGTATTCCTGAAAATCTTGGTTTTGTTTTTTTCACACGTTACGCTTCAATATGTTTTGTAAGCGGAAATATGCTTTGAGCAATTTAACCTAGATATCTGAAACTGCTACTTCAGAACTTTTCCTTTCATAAGTTTTATGAATTGAAATTTCAGTAACATGGTAATCAAACATTTAACAGTTTCATTGAATACTTTCACTCTTTAATTAGAAATCATCACGAACAAAACCATTTTAGAAATAGAACTAGTTTGTATGATGTTAAAAGAAGAATCATGTCGATGAAACATTTTATTTGATAAAACAACCATAACATAAAGTGTAGAAGACAATTAATTGAGGAACAATAAATGTTTGAAAACAGCTTCAATACCTCTAAATTGTTATTGCTATGCTTTATCAATTTACGACTCGGAAGTGTGTCTCCATAAATATGATTGATTTTCTCACCAAAACCTGACTGAAATCTACTTTATTTACTACTTTTTTTATTGGTTTTTTTTTTCAAAAAGAGAGTCTGAATAACAAAAACCGTTCATATCATTCTTTCGTTAGAATCATTCGGGATTCACACTCTCGATCTTGATTATAACTTAAAGATAATAAAACACCAAAATTGCAGTAAACAACCATATATCGAAGACAGACAAACGACACCGTTGTTAAAAAGATTTTATAGGACGTTTAAGTTCTAGGTATTTGATAATCGGTTTCAGAAAGGTAAATATTTGCATCGAGAATTGCATTTGAAAATCTAACCACAGTACCATTGTCAAATAAACAGTTTTTATTGATACGAATAAATCAGCCCATGGAATTGGAAAATAATCAAAATTGTTGTAAGGCCAAATGAAGTACGAATTTGAAGCGCGTCAAAAACCTTAATTTCCGAAAAGCTACTCCAAATATGACTAAGGCTATCTCATAGACGCTCCTCCCTTTATGGTTGAGATATGAATGAAAACATTCATATGATAAAGGTCAAGGAAACAGCAACCAAACGACAAAACAAACTATTTTAAAAGATATCTGAAAGGCAACGTAAACAAATTTCTACACAATTTATCATGCTCTTCATCTTATCCTGCCTAAACAGTTATGAATGAACTACACCGATAAAAATCAGCCTTCAAAACCTTGATCTCTAAATAACATAAAACACTATAAGTATAAGTTTTTACACTTAATCGGGGGAAATTTTCTATAATCCATCTGCGTAAGATGAATTTCACTAAACTAAACAAAATAGAACAACTATGCAATAGCGATATTTTCATGTTTTTGGAAAAAGATTTGGGTTGAAATTAATAGACATCAATAAACCATGTTAACGCAGATTAAGAGTCTTTAAAAAAGTATTGCCATTCATGGTAAATATCAGACGCTGATAAAAGAAAGTATCTCTTGAAAAAAAAAGACAAAAATTGTCTAAGTCTCAGGAAAATTGTTTGCTTACAATGTCTATGTACTTTAATTTCCTTTTTATTATATTGATGACGTGTTTATTGGTAAGTATTAGATTATGAAGAAATATAAAAAGCAAATAAAATGTACTTAAGCAAAACATAATAAAGAGTAAAAAAGATAAAAAGGGAGATAATAAAATTACAGATCTATATTACATAGTAATACATGAGTTAAAATTATCATAAAAACAAATTGTTTACTATTTTGTCAACGAATACACTAGCAAACAAAGTTTGATCTGAAACGGTCATTTTGAACTGAACGGCTTTTAAATGACTGAACAATACATTAGTATGTCATTTTCAATCTTTCTGTCAATTTTCATACTTATCCACTGTGGTAAACTCAGTATGGTTTATTTAGGTCGCTTGCAGTCAATTAAGATCTGTTCAGAATATTTCCAGAATGTTAAGTTGTTGTTATTCACCTTAACACGTTATACTGAATTGATTAAAAGTCTACTGAACAGTATTGCATTAACTGCAAGCGAATTTTCTAAAACGTACTGAAATTAACCCAGTGATTAAGTGATTAAAATTGACTGAAAGACTTAACATGACTGAAATTTTCATTGTTCAGACTTTTCAGATGATGCTAAATCAAATGACCTTTTTAGACTAGTATTCATTTAATAGTCATATTTTATAAACCATATCGTGCAGTCTGGGGATACCATCATGTCGTGTCGTTCAGTCATGAGGCATCATTAATGGGGCAAATACGACTTCAAACCTGAAAAAAAAATGACAATATGAAATGTAATACAATCTGTGTTTTTAAAAGCTTTCAGGATTAGAGTGTTACAGTTCACATTCACTAAATATAAACAAATGAAGGTTGGGAACATAAGTCACATGGATTCTAAAAGTAATGGCTGATGCATTTTGGTAATGTGATATTGAACACTCATATCGATCTCGTCTTGGTTTGTCTATAAATAATCATATTGCAACTCATTCTATAAAATTATTATTTCGTACTTAATCTTTTAGGTTTTTGTATTAAGATATTTGATTTCATGTTTATAATCTCGACAAATCATAATTTTTTAACTTCGATATTTCCAGATCGCCAAGTTATCAATATCGCTCAAGGTAGGAGAACGTGATACAGATAAGACGGAATTACTCAATAAAAATAAATTCCGTGTTCTGTATACAAAATGCTTAAACGAATCCAGATCAAGATCGTTATGTTGGAACGTGAGTTAAATTAAACTATTTTACAATTCAGATAACATAGATGATCAGAATATAGTAGGTTTAATCGAAAGTCTAACCAGATCTTTTATAACAATCAATACAAAGAAGTATTGATGAACGTAGTTGATACAACATTAAACAGTAGTTTACCGCAGTTCAAATCTCATAAGTGGATTATGACAATTCAAATCAAGGTAACAAACGAAAACTAAGCGAATAACATGAACTCCAAAAGGAAAAGACCGAATGTGTCGACAAGGTAAGCGTTGCTTTTTCGAGCGAGATGCTTTAATTGATATATTACTCTTTTATCTTAAAAATATATATTGCCTGACCTCCGGACTTTCCAGTGCTTTGAATTGGATATTCCGGAGAGGTTGATCTTGAGGAATCATCATCAACGTCAGACAGAAAACCTTCACGATGAAGTAACCAGTATGTACGAACGTAACCATGAAAAGCATTCAGAACATCTCGATCTTGCTGCAATATAGTATACAAATGGCCGACTAAATGATAAACTTTTAACAATGAAAAATATATAAATATATTTCAATTGTTAAGCACAAACAATGTCATTTAAGGGTTATGTTCCAAGCATTGTGTCTGTACTGCTAGTTGACTATCAACCGCAGAGGGCACTGTCCCACTAGAACCAATTTCGTTTGTACGTGCAGTATTTGAAATAAACATTCTATTTAATTTTTAAATTGAAATATTGCGATAAGAAATTTAATTTTAAACATATTAAGACTTACACAAACGTAGGTCAAGTTTACTTTAAAATTCCTTGGCTGTTATTTTCTGGATAGGTCGTTTGATGTGGTACATTGTTGCGAATAAAATGAACAGGGGTCTGTCCGATATTTCAGAAACACTGTTTAGTATTACCGTTACCCGTTTAAATGCCAAACACAAGGAATCCAGTTAGTTGTTTTTCTCTCATCAACTTTTTTTCTTTTCTTGTGTATGTGTGTAGCATGTATTCATGATTATACCTCTTGACTAAAAGAAGTCTAATCATATCTCATTTTTTTAAAATAGGATGTTAAACTAACCACTATATTTCATTTAACCGTATTTTGGGTGATTTTCAATAAAAAAAACCACGTTAGTTCCTGTAAAAGCACCTTAATTATCTTAACTTTTTTTAAATGGCTTAGGATTGGATATAAGTCAAATACCAATCCGCTATTACGTGATGCTTAATCACTTTATATAACTTATCAACATATTTTATACGAGTAACAAGAGTGTCACACCTTAAACAGGAACTCTTTACCCTTCTCGACCACCAGAGGCTTTTCCGATTTTTTTGGTGTGGTTCGTGTTGCACAGGCTTGAGATTTCTAAGCTGTGTTTTGTGGTTTTTGCCTTTTGATCGATTTTTTTATTGCCAAGGTAGTGTTTTGCGCCTCTCTTTTTCAAATAGATCAGTTAAGTATATTAGTTCTAAAAGTAAAAACAAAATGTAATTCATTATATTGAAACTCACTCTCATTTCATCATCCCGTCTTTCTTCCATGATAAAGCCACCAAAAACCTTCAATAAATCTCTAGTAGTATGGCTTATTTGTATCTTGTTTGCTACAGAAAATATAGGTAATAAAATTGAGAATGGAAACGGAGAATGTGTCAAAGAGACAACAACTCGACCAAGGAGCAGAAAACAGCTCAAAGCCACCAATGGGTCTTCAACACAGCAAGAAAATCCAGCACCCGCAGGCGGGCTTTAGCTGGCCCCTAAACAAAATGTATACTGGCTCAATATCGATTGATTCTATACTTTTCTTGTGAGCAAACACTATATATCAAGAAAATTATGATAGAAAAGTTCTTGAATTTATGAAAGTTATATAATTTGGTGATATATACACTCAATATACAGGTGATGCAAGAATGTTGGTACATAAATATAATGTTTGCTAAGTGAAATGAAACTATTTAGTTCTCAATCGAACCTTACTTTAAATAAATAAATTGAAATCATGAATTAAAGATTATCTTACTGTATCTGCGGTATCTCTTAATTCAAATTCGTGGTTTTGAAACGTTGAATAATGATAGGACATCATGTTTATATCTTTTTGTATTACAATGTACGGAAAATTCAGAGAACATATTACCTTCTTTACATTTTTCTTGATAAACTCCTTTTTTTGTCTTCCTTATAAGAATAGGGTGAATAACGGAATTTGTCGGCGAAATGGAAACAACGGGTTACCATAGCAATTATGAATGATTGTTCAAAAACATATCAATCGAATCAAACTATTTTTTTTTCCAAATCACGCACCTCGATAATTATATTTTTATATCTTATGATTTTTCTCTCCCTAGATAAGATATTGTAATAAACCTTATAATGATACTTATTTGTGTACAGGATAAAAATATCGGACATGTTTTCTTTATTTGTGAAAGAGTAGAAGAGGTCTGATTGCATGTACTTTGAAAATCTTTTTATTTTTTTAGTATCTTTAGCTGATTCACACCCCTTGGGAAGAACGTTTATATATTTTGCTGATAGAATAGATGTTAATGATTTAGAAAGAGGTATTGTGTGGTACAAAAATGTATCTTGAAACCGACCATTATAATGTTGCAATGAAATTTGTGTAATTAATATGACCATTCTTGTGAGAAAATTCATATTTTTGGTTTAAATTTAAAAGGAGTATAAAACAGACGTATGAATGTCCAGGATTTCCAGTTTATTCAATGTGGTTGAAGTATATTCTATGTTTCCAAATTTATTGGCAATACATTGTGCCCTTATCATTCAGTTTGTAATGAAATAAACGTCTTCAACATTTAATTATCATCAACCGTATGAATTATCATAGATATCCATTGGAAGACAATTATATGTAAACATACCTCTGCCCTGGGATTCCATTTTGGATGCAATGCTGACTGTTTCGCCAAATAAACAGTACCTGGGCATTTTTGTTCCAACAACTCCGGCAAGAACTGGTCCTGCATTAAGACAATTTTAAAGCAAAGTTTGAATTCGTAAGTACATCTATGACAGAATGGAATGAAACAACTATCCTATATTTTCATCAGATTTGGCTATTTTGTTTAGGCCTCTTTTTGGTTATAAAGGTCTACAACTCTTTCGGTTCTTATACATTATTGACTTTTAAATATTAGTCTTTGAGCGTTCCTGATGAAGGTAAATCCAGAAAAGCCCTTCAAATTAATGAAATTTATAACGTATTGTTTTCATTTTGTTTTTTATTTTGTCAAAGCTTCAGTTTTAATCAATTATCTTGTTCAAACTTATAGTAATGCTTTAGGTATTTGAATTTGCTTTAATGTTTCATTTAGATTTCTCCCAAAAAATTTACCAGCTCATATTTGAATTGAAAAAAAAACATGTTAAGGGTGTGCGGTATGGATACCTAAGCAGTAATGAAGTGACTGTATCGTAGTTAACCTTACTTGTAATTAGTTTTAACGATGTCCATTTGAAGATACGTTGTAAACTATTTTTACTTTTATACTACAGATAGCTAAACACGATTGAATGTTGTATAATGGTACTAACGGTCTTTAAAAAAGAATGCTATAAAAAAAGAAACGCTAACATAAAACCCAATTACACTTGCGTGTGCAATCTGCCACAATATAATAACTATGTGGTGTATCATCATGTTAATCTTAATAATTTGGACAACCAGAGGTCAGCTAATATTGTTTAGATTTAAATGCTATCGAAATGAAAGGATAGATATCTTTATGTGATGTACCTGTATATAAGAATTTAATAGTTTTATTTTTCATGTTTAATTCTTCAAAAATTATTTTCATAAGTCTGAACCATCACTTTAATATCTGTTATTGCATATTCGGCATTATATGTTTTGTATTTGTTTATCTTGTACACTGGATGGGGTGACTGGGTGAAATTTTAAATTTTAAATTATTGAACTCATCACCAGTTTCTTCCTTATAAAACCTTTTCAGGGACAACTTTCGCAAGGAATGTTTATAGGAAAGATTTTAGAAAGACAGTCAACATCATAGCTACAAAAGTAACAGGAAAACAGAATACCATTGCTACAATAACATGAAGAAAACAGAAACCTTAAGGTTGAGTGATATAGTTCTATAAGTAAAGTCAGATATACTAGTGGCATGGCGAGCTATCAAAGTTGAATGTAGATAACCAAACATCAACGTGGTGTGCGAGTCTAAATTCAACATACAATGTAATATATACCTGAGTGTAATCCGATTCGGAGTTTGAATTTGGTTCCAGGTAGGTGCGGAATTTCCAGCCTCTTAATATTATCTATAAGATCAAGTGCCATTGTTCCTATTTCCGATGCATGTCTCCTACCATTCCTCCTAGGAACACCTAATAATTATACACTTCTAACAATAATTTATGCATTTCTGGAGCATTTAGAAATAAGGAAAAACTAAAATATAAAACATTCCCTTTTGTAAAAGCATTGAACAGTTCTAGTTTGGCAAGCCACAAAACCAGGTTCAACCCACCATGTTTTCTTATAATGTCCTGTACCAAGTCAGGAAATTGGCTATTGTTATCTTATAGTTCTTTTCTCTGTGTGTTGCATTTTAGTGTTTCTGTTGTGTGTTTGTTCTCCTCTTATACTTGATGTGTTTCCCTCAGTTTTAGTTTGTAACCCGGATTTGTTTTTTCTCAATCGATTTATGAATTTCAAACAGCGGTATACTACTGTTGCCTTTCCTTATCTAAATGTATGTTATTATAGTTTTATTTGGTTGATTTTTTAAAAGCAACTAGTTATTCAGGCGTCATTAATCAATGACAATAATTCACGTCACTGGTGAGTTTTTTGTAGACCAAACGCGCGTCTGATGTACACAATTTGGATATTTGTATCTATGATGAGTTTATCTATAACTGTCATAGATTTTAAATCTTTTCTTTTTTAAATCTCAAAGAAAATTAGTTTGATGGACAGGAAATTCGAGAGAAACTTTTTGGTTATTTTTGTCGTTAGGTTATTGTTCCTTTGACAAATACCTCACATCACGTTTTATTTATATATAAAAACTTTAAATTTTGAAATTGCTTGTTGAACAATATACTTTTAAATTTAAAACTCACCAGATACGACCATATAGGCATCACCGATGGTCTCCACCTTATAAACGTCATAAATCTCGATTCTAGTATCAAAGCTTAAATACAATCTATTCAACATATCAACAACTTGTAGAGGTGAGCTCTGTGCAGATATACTTGTGAAGCCCACAATGTCACTAAAGAATATGGTGGAATCGCCATATTGCTCCGCATCTACTTCCTGGCTTCTTTTTAGAAGTTCTGCTACACTCTTTGGCAACATTTGGTACAGTAAAACATCAGTACGTTTCTTTTCTTTGTTTAGGGCTTTAGTCCTAAAAATCATGTTAATATAGTGCAATGATAATGCCTCAGACACAACAGTTCTCACAATAGAAGATTATAGTTTAAACATACGTTTCAAGATTTTTTTCAAACAGAGAAGAGTTTGTTATTTGAATTTCTCGGAACATTTATTTAAAAAAAAAAAATATATTATAGTATACAATTTGTTCGTCTGAAACCCCTTTCTGGATTTATCTTTATCAAGACGCTTAATTTTGAAAGCCAATGATGTATAATTACTTAATATTTTATAAGCTAATAACTGAAAGGGACCACAAAAAGAATATCAAAAAAAATTTCATCATGATTCTAAAAATTGAGAATTTAAGAAGGTTATGTTTCAATCATCTCATGATCAGTAAAGATCAAATTTATCTGAGTATCGTAGCCAAAATCATTATTTTCGTTTATTTACTCCTAAAAGCATGGGTCGTTAACCCTGTATGCGTTCTCATTTGTCTATTTAGAGGGCTTTTATTTGTTTGAACACAGAGGAAAAACTAAGACGATGGTTTAATGTGAGTCACAGCATGAAAATAGACTTGTGTTTTTTTTTACTTTTAACTAGGGCATAACGAAATATTTTCAAAACAAAGATTTTACTGTATCGGAGAATATACAATTTGGTATATGATTCTTAAAATTTTTTATTCATATTGATATCTTAATTATATGAAACATAAATGTTATGCCAATTGGTTCCGAAAGCATTCATTTGCAAAACTACAAGTTATTTTATTAAATAATAAAGAATTGCGTTTATAAACAATGTGTGAGACGTTTTGCCTATTATGTGATAATATACCCTTTAAATATATAATAAAAGCATCGTCATAAGTGGTGTGAAGTGAAACTAGCTTAAATCAAATTGAGCAGGTTTACAGAGAAATATGATATATGTCATTTCAATTCAAATGCTTAATAAGGTCATTTAAACACTGCACCTACAGGAAAATGTCAAAGAGCTCGCTTTTAGTACCATGCATACTGCAAACATGATAAAAAATTAAAGAAGTTGCCAGAGAGACCTTAGGAAATACAGACATTTTCAGAATTACAACGAAACAACAGTTCACAAAATACTACACAGAAAACCAAATATTTACCAATGCGAAATAGCTTTTAAGTACTATCAATCGGTATTATTAGTGAGAAAGAAGAGAAAATAAATAAATGTCAATAAAACATGATTAGACAAGATATGAGACAAACCACAAAACAAAAACAACAAACAAATTAGAGGGTGAACCGTACCGGCTCCATAAATGTTACCCGCCGTGTTGATTTTATCGGTTAAATTCAATGACTGTTTCTGTATATCTATATCAAACATTTCTTTTTTGACAGTATTTATAAAATATAAATACAAATTTAAGACACTCCGATTTATACATTTTCAAAATTATTACACAAAACACTGCACAATTAGATTAAGACATAAACCGTGATTTAATCATGTTCTTTTATTTAAAGACAGTCAAATTGAAATGACCATGCCAAATGTACAATCCACCTAAACATTATTGCTCAGTACTGAAACTGTATTTTGATAACTAAGTAAGTTTAAGGATTTTGAAAATACTGTTCAATTTAAGCATTACAATTTACATGTGTATTACTATTTTGACATACCAATTTATATTTGTGTTGTGTAATACGCTTTACTTTGCCGTAACAAGCAATGGTTGGCATTCGTATTCTTTTAAGCATATTCGTTCAGAAAACTGATTTATTTATTTCTTAGCTATATTTGTGTTAAAGCTGGGGATATTGTGTAGAAATCTGGCTTAATTGACGACAAGATATTGGCCTCTACATGTCTTTAAAGTTTTGTGTTATTGAGTTGTTGTTTCATTGATGTATTTCACAAATATCTTAAATAAATGCACAGAACACAGGCAACAAGAGCTGTGTACAGTAATTCGAATAACTTCAATACTGGTTCATTTTTGGCAATGGTACCAGAAATGAAGGAAATGATGAAACACACAAATACAAAGACATTATATTGTTTGTTTCTAGTAAACATCGAGCATCTTTTAATAAAATGGTTCAAAATGTTAGTTCAAGTACTAAATCTTTCATTATATTGTGATAAGGCAGCTGAAGGACCTGATTGTATATTTAATTTTTCGGTGAATTTATGTTGTTTTGCTGCATTGGTTTATAGGGGTTTTTATTCATATTCAGGGCTAAAGAGAAAAACAATCCTACCTGTTGGCGATGGAAATTGAATACTTTTGGATTTCAGATGTTAATGAGTACACTGCAAATACAATCAATGGGCATACAATAAGAATGACGCCAAACACAATGCATATAGTTATAACACTTTGAAGTTCCTCTTCAGATGCTTTGGCGAGACTTTCGTCAATGGTCATTGCGAGCGCATTTTGTGTTCGTGTCAAGACTCCCTGATATATTGTCATGTTATCAAACCATCTTTCAGCCTCATGGATAGATGCTTGTGTACTAGTATAATTATTTGACTTGATTCTGTTTCTATAATCTTCAATTGGAACAATAACCTCGGTATTTTTAGCCAGTTCTATGTTATAAATGTCAAATGCTATTTTAGAGTAGAATCTGGCCGATTCGAAAGTGACGTTTGCCCGATCCTGATTTTCCATAAACAAAAGATATTTTTCTCTTGTTTCAAAACCACCAGTTGCGTAAAAGGATACTCCAAGCGCCCTTTCTCTACCAAAGAGTTCGCTTGACACAATAATTTCTTGATATGCCACCACATCTTTCCAAACTGATCCAGTACTTGATTCGCTAATTGCGTCGTATAACCATTTCAATAAAACCATTATGCTGTTGGAATAGAAATCTAATTCAGTTTCCACGGACTGATTGTAAACGTCAAGCTGATATCGGTGTTTATTCAAATATGAGAGAAAACGCTCCCGTGTTTCCATTTCCATTACAATGTCGTCTCCTCTCGGCCATCTTGATAAATTTTGAATAGCAAGATCAGTATCAGGATATCTCTGCAGTAGAAAATCTTTTGTCTCTGGTTTAATATTACTGACATAAAGGGCGCTCATGTCTCGTTCAAATTGAATGGTACGCAGCAGTGCTCCCAATTCTATGCTGAAGAAGAGGAGTTCTCGGACATTTGCAGAACTGATGTAGTTGTCAATGGCAATGGCAAAAGTGTTTGCTGTCATACCTGTAATTACTAATACTGGAATCATTACAACTGACAACATTTTGATCATTTGCTTGCGTTTCCCTGCATCTGTGATGGGATTACCTTTAAAATAAAATGTTTGGTAGGATGTATTGGGTTTAATCAACACAAACATTTTTAGTCACTTCCAGGACTGATATATGTATGGAAAATATAAAGCTCGTACTATCATCAACGGTACCAATTTTACTGCACCAGATGTGCATTTCGACAATTAATGACTCTTCAGTGATGCTTGGGTCGAAATATTTTTTAATTCAAAACCTAATAAACGAGAAATTATGAATATCATTCAATTAAAATAATCACTTAAACTGGCATCATCAAGATCCTTGACAAGAAATTTGTTGCGTTTGGAGAACGGGGCTTTCAAAAGGCTATCGGTATTTCTATGAGAACAAACAGTATTCATCTTATTACGGACTTGTTCTGTTCTGTTATTCATATGAGGCTGGCTAAATACATGACTATGCAAGGAAGAATGGAAAGAAGATTGCGTTATCCTTTAACCCCCATGTTGCGCTATAGAGAGGATGAGGGGTTTTTTCATGTCCTCCCACAAAGAAATTAATTCAATGTTTAGTGACTTTGTTATACGCATCTATACCATCTGACGTGAAATAAAGGATACCACCGATACAGTAAAGTCTCATTGATATTTTGACTCAAATCTAAAAATTAAAAGGTAAAATAACAAAAATACCGAACTCAAAGGAAAATTAAAAACTGCAAGTCCTTTATAAAATGGCAAAATCAAAAGCTGAAACACATCGAGCGAATGGAAAACAACTGTCATATTCCTGACTTGGTACAGGCATTTCCTTATGGAGAAAATGAGGGTCGGTTGAGAACATTCCTTACTACTTAAGAGCTGATTTCAGCATCCATTTGGGATCTTTCCATTTTTTATGAAGCACCATACAATGAGCGCCTGCATAAAAAGTATATCTCCCAGATTATACAATATTCTAAAGCTTGCGTTTCTTATCATAATTTCTTTGATAGATGGTTGCTGTTCTATAGGATGCAAATATTACAAAGATTTTCAATATTAAATGATATTTAAGACACAAATAAAAAAAGAAAAGGATATTCATTGGTAAAGTTGTGTTCATTCCTTCTTTTTAAATCCGCTATCATAATTTGTTTGACCAGCATTAAATGTTCGTGTCACAAATGACCAAGAATAGGACTTTATCGTCCTACTTATTATCCCGTCCTCTTCTCATTGATAATTATATCACCGAATGTTTACTTGCCATGAACAACAAGACGAATGTCACTAGAGGAACAGTATCTGCTTAACCTTGCAGAGTGTTTAAGAGCCCAAAGGTCTTATCTATACTACTAAATAACGAGGTCCAATGTGTTAGCCGGCATGACGTAAAAACGACGAATCAAAGAATTCAACTTTATGTATAACTTTCATTGGACAATGGTGTTGTTTAAAAAGTTTACCATTCCAGCCCCTTTTGCTTTCCACATAATTAAAATAACCAATAATTAACAAGTTCCTGGTCGAATCCGATACAGATACCAACAGTATATGTCACTTGTAACTTCCGGTTACCTGTTGCCTTCTGTAAATCCCTCCTCTATCAAGAAAACCTGGAAATCTTAAAGTGGTTGTTTTATATCTATGTTAGACTATAGTACACTATTTAACAAGTCTGTTTTCGTCCACCTAATAACCACTATTAATTATGGTTAATAAGTTCAAAAATTAAATTTAGTTTATAGTAAGTTTATTGTACTAAGAAAACCAGGACAGGTTCAAACAGAAAGATTTTGAAAGCAGAGAAAACTGTGCACCTTATTATCAGCATGACTTTATCAGATGACGATACGAATACTAAAAATCCAGGCTAAACATAAGGCATATGTACTTTAAATTCAGTCACGGACCCGCGATGTCGCGGGTATGTTTTAGTATTATAAAAGCTAAGGTTTTTAACAGATAGGAATAACAGGCATACTGCTGGTTGTGGTAAAGGCATACCAATCCATATCACTAGATAATCGCCAGTCTTAGAAAATTGTTTCTATTAAAACCGTAGTTATCATTGTGTTGTAAGATAGGGATAGTCTTTGTTTCGGATTTCAGTCCTCGAAGGATCAACTATTATAATGTGTTGACCCTTCCGAAGCACCTGATATTAATTCCGGTTTCATGGTAGGTGGTTGTTTGGTGTTCGTAAGTTGGTGTATGTTATATATGATTTATTTGGTATAGTATCGTCTTCATTTAACTCCGATTGTGGTAACGTCGTCTCTGCTACGCGACAATAGAGAGAAGTCAAAAATGAAGCATATAATAGAAATATACTACTGTTTCTAAATTTGCTCCTTCAAGTATCTTTTATTTCTTTGAATGTTTAACTTTTGTTCTACTCTAATCTCTGTTTTCCAATCACAATATCAACTAAACTATTCTCTGGTATGTATGATAAGGTTTCTTTTATAGCATACCTAAACTTTGTCTATATCGTTTTATATTTGATTAGTAATTTACCTCTACACACTGCGTCACATCTTGTAGCTGCTTGTCTCATACTCAACATGTCCATTATTGCTGTATTAAGCTGTGATGGTGTAAGGGAGAGCATCGAAGTTGTGCTTGCTGACGAATTCGAAACATTTTTCTCCCTATCAGATGGTTTCACTTTCGTTCCAGTCATTTTGTCTGTGATTGTTATTTAACTATCTGTCTTCCTTTTTTTAGTCCCACTATTTAAACTTAAAAATAAAAGATTATTGATTACTAAAAGAGTAGCAATTCGCTGTGCAAATTAATTATTGTAAAAACTGTAATGAATAACAGTTTCTAAATAATTTTGTGTCTGTGCAGGCATATTTCTGAATTATTGCTAAAACAATTCAAAAGATTGGCTGTTATATTTTATGTTAACATTTATCAATAAAGATTTAAAAAGAAAGGTGATAGAGTGAATGAACTGACCATAACAGCTAATAGACTGGTCTTGATACAATTTTAATAACTATAATAAATATCAGAAAGGAATGCATATGTGTCAGGTTGACAATGATTCACACCCTTAGTGACAATTTAATGGCATTTTATTATCATAAAGTATGCCTGAATAGGATAGATTAGGAAAATTATTCATACTTTAGAGAATTAATAATCAATTATATTAAGTAAATGCCAAAAAGTCTGGCAGATTCTTATCTCTCAACTTCTGAGAACCAGACCTCGATTATATGTAATAAAATGCATTTTGTTTTTAAGGCCCAGTTAAGCACAGATACTGTTTTATAAGGATTACATTTTTTTACCACAAAAGCTTCAAATTGCCCAATTTTACTTAAGAAATATTAAACAGAGGTTTTACTTTTTTAATACTATGGAAACTCAAATGTTTAAGCAATATCTGTTCTAAGCAACTGTGTACATATTTTTGTTTAAGGAATCATTTTGAGAAATATAGTTCGTTTCTATGTATGTTGGCGTTTGTTTTTGTTGCACTTTAGTTTTCCTGTTGTTCCTTTATTTTCCTCTTATAGTTGATGTGTTTCCATCGGTTTTAGTTTATATCCCGGATTTGTTTCCTCTCAATCTATTTATGACTTTTGAACACTGGTATACTACTGTTGCCTTTATTGTGCTAAATCAACATATTTTTCAACAAAAATTCCCGAGATTTCCAAATGCAAGCCTCAAATTACAAAATATGGTATTTCAGTCTTGTTTGTCATAAATCATACTCATACTCATGTTCATATCGAAAGAGTACCAAAAGAATACCGTATCTAAATTATTCAAATCAATACCACAGGTAAAATTTTTGGCCCTTTATGCTCTTTAATTTCACATTTTTTTGGGCCTTTTATATTTTTTATTCGGGCGTCACTGATAATATTTTGTAGATGAAATGCACGTCTGTCGTACACAATTATCAGTCTGGTATCTTTGAGTTTTTTCTTGGACTTATTCATAGTATTAAGATAGTTTTTTTTTAAATGTTTTGTTATTCACGGAGATTTTCTTGTGACACTTCATCACATAGGCACTTGATGTGAACGTGAACTAGAAGTTTTAAATCTCATTTAAAAATCAAGTGGTACCCAGTTAAGCAATTTTAAAAGCTGAGGGATATTTAATTTCCTTCTATGTTCATGCAATATATACAGACGTATTGCTGATGCCAAATATGCCCTCTTATCACTGGATAAAAGGAAATAAAATACTACAAATCAAAACCAAGCTTGATTCAACTAGATAATAATTCGAATAAAAGTTGTTTATGTTTTATGCGCTAGAAATATACCATAGACCTCAATAAGATATAGATGAATTCAGATAAACAGTTTAGTTATGTATACGTTTAACTTGTTGTGTACTAAACGAACCGGACCGTATGAACTTATTTACTCTTCGATAAATGCTTATGGAGCCCATATAGATGTCATCTACTTGAACTTTATACTTTTAGGAATATGTCGAACGGAGGTATACCGACCGTTTATATATATTTATCTTACAAATTTATTCTGATTCAATGGACGTCAAATGTTTCGAAAACAAACACGCATAGTAATCGATATTTAAACTGTAAAATTGAAATTCTGTATTAAACAAATGATTGATAATTTTAGTCAACATGTTTTTGTTTGTTATCAAATGTTTTTGATGAATCAAACGTTAACAGAATTGGAACGATCAAGAACTGTTATATTGTGTAGACACCTGTCGATTGTTGAAGGTTGTGTGTTGCTCCCTAGATCACTTTTGGGTATTTTGTTGTTGTGTTGCTGTCGTAATGACGCTTACCCCAAACCTATGTTTATTCCTATTCAGTAAAAAAATATGAAGCATTACTAAATTAAACCTAAACGGATTATCTTTCACTAGGACACGAATCAAAGCATGTGTAGACAAAGTTTGAAATACTTTAAATTTATCTGAATGGGGCAGTAGTTAGAGGGCAATTTGATGTTATGAGATAGAAAACAAGTTGCCAGTAGAGTAACATACATCACTAAATATACAAATCAGAAACATTGAATAACTGTTAAGATAACAAAGAAAATATATTATTTTTTATGAATGTTATTGTGAGATTTTTCTTGCGAGTGTACACTATATGGGGGAAAATGTACATTCGTTACAATTGTCCCTGAAGATTTATACGATCTATATACTTAAGCTTTGTGTTGCTTCTTGTATGTATAGACATGAACAAATGAATAAATTATCATTGAGCCTTGTGTAGAAGTCTTGAATATAGAGATATAACCAACTGAATAAATTACCATTTAGCCTTGTGTTGACTTTTTGGATGTAAAGACATGAACAATTGAACACATTACCCTTGAGCCTAGGGTAAACGAAATGCGTCAACGTCTGACATGCTAATTTATAAACCAGATATCTTGGCAAATGTTTTTGTTCTTCCCTCAACGGGATTCACACCCTTGATTCTGCCTGCACTGCACCGTGCCCAGCGCCCTAGACCACACCACCACCTAGGCTACATAAAGATATAGCTTTCGGTTGTCGATGTAATGCCTTTCCTAGTCATATATGTATACAATGATAGATATCAAAATGAAATATTTATCTGTTTTCTTCAAGCATAAAAACACATATATTAGCTAAGAAAGTAACGGTTTTTTTTATACATGTAACTTTTCGATTTGCTAAGACTATATGTAGCGGATAAATTTATGTCAAAATATTATTTTTCAAAACGGAATGCAAAGTAAATGAAAATGTCTACCTTATATCAGCTTGTCATAAATAATCGTAGAAGTAGTCACATTTCACTATGTAAATAGTTGCTATGGTTACCCTTAAAGTTGGTAAAATGTGCTAACTTGTTGTCAAATGTGCTCCTTGATATTTATAATAAATTTCTAGATTTTGTTTTTCTCTGGAAGGTTAAACTGTTGTTTTTTATTGATAATCATTTGAAGACTTCCATAAATAGCTAGGATATTTCGTGTTTGATAATTAAAACTGTTTTTGCGAAAATAGTGGTATGATGTTTTGATGGCCGTATTTGTTTGGTATATTCAGTAAAAGTATTCGAAGTTAGAATATATGATTAATATGTAATTATATTATTTATGCAACTAAATTAAACATCAACTGAGCATAACAAATCCTTGAAAACTTTAATACATGGATACTTTTCTGTTGGACAATTACTCAAATACCACATCAATCTTATTTTTCGTTTGTAATGTTTGCATTGGCTATAGTGCTGTGTTTTGTACATGGTCAACTAACACATAGTATTATACAAAAATGTTTGTTACAATAAAGGCAACAGTAGTATACCCTGTTCAATAGTCATCAATCGATTGAACTGAAACAAATTCGGGGCATAAACCAAAACCGAGGGAAACACATCAACTATAAGAGGAAAACAACGGAACAACATGAACACTGAACTGCTACAAAAAAAAACGCCAACATACATAGAAACGGACTATTTGATAACAACTGCCATATTCCTAACTTGGTACAGGACAGTTTAAGAAAAAATGGTGGGTTGAACCTGGTTGTATGGCTAGTCAAACCTCCCGCTTATATGGCAATGTTAAAAATACCGCTAAAATGACAACATTACGTGACATTAACCCATGAAGTCTTTTTACATTGTCGCTATTTCTAATTGATACTTTGAAATTTGTTTGAATGTATGTCTATTCGGTATTCTGATTTAGCCAATCATGTATCCTCTATTTGAATAGCATCATCTCTTTTAGTAACATCATCAGAAAATGTTTTGAAGAACCACTTTCAGGACAAATTCTCACGATATCAGTTTTCAGGTGCTCAAAATATTACAACATCAAATTTACATATAATAGATATTATCAACCTGAACAAAAACTGCAATTACAGATATATCATAAGCTTGAAAAAAATACACCCAGACCGTCAAATGATGTGAATCTGAATTTAAACATTTGTCAAGAAGTCGTGAGAAGAAAAATCTTTTCAATTATTTGATATTCTTTTAGTTGGAACATTGTGTTTTCATAACTTCATAAAGTATGTAACAGTTCAAACAGTTGAACAGTCATGTTCATACTTATACGTGAATTAATCATCGTACAACTTCAAACGTGACAGAATAATGAAGCAAAGAAAGTGTGCCATCCATTCATGAAAATAGGAAATGTAACAAAATTTATGATAGTTGTTAACTTTCATCAATGAGTATAGAACTTTCTTTCAATTATTGTCTCAATCTATTAGCCAAATGACCCTTGTTAAGGTCACCGAAAGTGTCAATTTAAGTATAAAACTCTTTTATAATGAAATTGATCATAACCTTTTTAGACTCATTTCTTGAATCGACTTCGTAATGTATCGTGTTGATGTGCCAATTACCCAATTTTCTTCACTGTATCAATAGAATATACACGAGTACATTACGGTCATTTAGTACACGTTGACATTGTAGACTTTTGCTGAGGTTTGATATGTTCCGTTAATTATTAGACTTCAGAAAACATGAAAAACTGTCAGCCAAAATTGTAATTTAAAATATATTGAATATATTATCATCGACATAATTACTCAGCTGCAATATATTTATATTTAGAGGACTATATAGTTGATACAACAGGTATAAACTATTTTTATAATCAGTTCTATTTTCAAGCCATAATATTCCCTTTTTGAAAACTTCAATGTATTGTT